TCCTATCCATTTGCGTTTATATCATTTAGATCGGTGTACATTTGAGAAGGTATTCAACGTCCAATTCGAAGGAAATTAATCACAATGACGTGAACACTTTTGGAAATCATATACATACATTCGAGTGGATTAGATTGTGTTAGTCTGAAGATGTTAATTACACTGTGGAAATGTTCCCATCGTCCAACATTTTACAAAAGACACGTTCGTTAATTTTTTCTTTTCAAATTTCAAATCTTATGCATTGATTCTATAGACAAAAGACGATCGAACATAGAAATGAACAAGTGGAGCCCTCTTCGATTCTTTGATCCTAACACCTTACACTAAACAAATTTAAATATTATTCATAGAATTTTCAATAATCTCAGCGTTATATTATTTTATCCAATTTTTTTGTATACCATACGTTCCTGTCTGTTTTAAATTCTAAAACAAGAAATGTAATTTAAAAATTCGCGAATTTGTGTGTGTTGGGGTTTTTGTGATTCTCTGTAACAAAATTTATAAATTAATTTCATATACGTAGATAAATATGTATGCAAAGAGGAAAAAATCAATATTTAATATATATAGCAATGAGAAGAGAATTATTTTCTAAAAATAATTAGATTTATTCAAATATCATGACGTCTTTTATAGTCCCGCCATTTTGTATTATCATATTACGTAACGATAGATCAAATTACCTGCGTATGATTGGTGATATAAAAATCGACTAAGGATAAAGCATTGATTTCTAGAAAAATATATTTACTTACAGATATAAATATATTTACTTACTATATTCTATAAACGTTAGTATACATGAAAGTGAAAAAGAAAAAGTAACTGGCAGGAATAAAAAAATCAAAACGAGATCGGCCAGTAAGATGCATACAAAGTCGAACGCTTTCGGCCAGTGGACGAAAATGTATGAATGCCGGAGTGAAAGCGTCCGTTAAGAAAGTTGTGAACAAATTTTTTATTAATACCATTACTATACCACAGAAATAGTTGGAGTATACTGTATATCCGGAAATCGGTACATAAAATGTAAAAGAAAAAGAAAAAAAAAAGAAAAAAGATTATATGTTTCTTATTATATACTGTTAACACACTCTTCGATTTTATGTCCCTCTCACCATTTTGATGTAATACTACGTGACTCAAATTCAAAGAGCCGATTATCTCTTTTCGCGAAACTCAACCTTTCTCTACTTAATTTTCCATGCTTCCCTCGTCGAATTCTATTTATCGGTTTTACTAAATCACAATGCACACTTTCTCAGTTTGATCCACTTACATTCGAAATCTGAATGTATCTTTTTTAAGGAGAAACGATGTATATCATTTTTTTGTCTTTTTTTTTTTAATTAAACTATGAAAGTTAAATGTCGAAATGTAATTGATATTCGAAGAAAGTTACTTGTATAATAAGTAACATGATTCAGGGATGGCTCTTTATCTTGTAATTTTAAACGAATTTAATTGATTATGTTAATTTAATAATTCGAAAGTATCAATTATGATATAAAACATTCTAATCGATTAAAGAAACTGTTATACTCAATAAGAACGAATTTTTCAATATTTAAATTATATAAGGCACATATAGATATATAATATCAACATTTCTCAACTTATTAAGGGTCGCGTTAAAATTTTTAATAGATCGGTAGCTTAGATCAAAACGAGGATAGTGATTGATAAATATCTATATTTTCTAAAGTAATATACAATAACTCCAGTCTATCAGATTATTAAAAATGTTATATTATAAATATTTGAACTATGATACCATTACAAATAAATGTATTGGGGCGCAGTATCACTACAAACAAATGTGCATGGCAAAAGAATTGATAAACGCTGGACTAAATATATAATTTCTTTTTTATTTTTTTTTCTTGCAAAGAACATAATCGATGAGATAAGAGTAAGCATATATCAAGTATCGCAATTACGATGAGAAAGTTTAACGAATATATGAAATGAGCAGTACCATGAAGAAAAGAGAAAGTGATTCGACTGGTGGGCCAGACGATGTCATGTAACACATGCGTGTATGGCGACGCATTCTCTTTTATACGCAGTTATAGACATTACCATTTAATCGACTGACATTTAAGTCGATCACTCGTACCTACAACTTCCCGTATAAAACAACTAGCGTAGAAAACTCGTTGAAGACTGTGAAAGGAAAAAAAAAAGAAAAGGAAAAGAAAAACACAATGGAAAAAGAAAGTAAACGCATAAAAAAAGCCGTATGAGAAATATAAAAATAAATAAACGTTGTGTTGAAAATATGATATATCTAGAATATTTTTTTCTTTTGATGCTGCGTGCAGTGCTAAACTATAGCTATCGCATACCTGCAAACTAGATTAACCTGAAATGAATTCTAGTTGCTCGAGGCTGGAAATATTTTCTGGAAAAGAAAAAAGAGAGAAAGAGAGCGAGAGAGAGAGAGAGAAATAGAAAAAAATAGAAAGAAAAGCTAATACGAATCGTATGTATATTTGTTTTTTTAATTCTCATCTAGTTGTTGGCGTGCGTCGTTGGACTCGCTTCAACACAGATTACAGATGGAGGAACTGGTGGTAACCCACAAAGAGGACAATTTCCACCAACAGCTATACGATCTGCACGATATCAGAGGTTACCGATAGCTCGACCGAGTGCACCTTCGCAATCAGTTTTAGCAAATCAACGAATACGTCGTCCAATTACGTTCAGGTACTATATATGCTAATAAAATTAATCTGAAACAGAATATTATATATATAAAATCGATATAAAAAAATGTACAGTTATCGATATTTATTTATTTATCATTTTTTGTTAACAACCTCATATACATTCGTAAGTTATACTAATATCTCTGAATAAAGAAAAAATAGTAAAGGATGAAATCATTATTAATTCTAATTCCTTTTTATCGTCAGATCTAGAGGAGGAACGGATGATGGTCAAACAACAGGTTCCTTCACAGCTGCAAGACTCAATAGACCAGGCCTATCAACGGTCGCATCAATACAGAATTATCCTCAGCAGGTAAAACCTGTGAAAGAGGATAGCGAAGAGGAAGAGCGTTCACACGAGATATCCCGTGATCAAGAACGTCAAGATGATCATAGCTTTGAACCAGACGAGGATGAGGAAGAAATTAGCGATGAAAATATTTCAAGACCAGCCGGTAATACAGGTCCGAGCGATTCACAGAGACCAAGTGGTCCATCGGCAATATCACAATCGTCTGGCCCAGGACGTCTTTATCAATCGGCATCTCCAGTGCCAACTGGTAGAGGTGCATCACCGCAAGCTCCTGTTTTCCAATATCGAACAACACCAAAACCAACGAAACCAAGAAAACAACCAATCGTTGAGGAGTCACCGTTTAAGGATCAAATAAGAAGACCACCTAAACCATCTAAACCTACACAGATTTATGATTCCCGTGGAAAGAAGCCAGTAGCACAGGTGAGAACTCGTTAATGATTCAACAGGTAACTATACATTGACTCTAGATCATTAAATTTTCTTTACATTCTCTTTGTATTTTCATGATGGCACAGATAATAAGACGATATCGTAACGATAATGCCGACGGTTCAATCACTTGGGGCTTCGAGAACGACGATGGTTCTTACAAGGAAGAGATCATTGGCACCGATTGCATAACTCGTGGTAAATATGGATACGTCGACCCGGATGGCGTTAGACGGGAATACACCTACGAGACTGGAATTAAGTGTGACGAGGAACAAAAGGAGGAAGAAGAGGAAAACGGCTTTGTTGATTATCAAGAAAACAAATTAGTGCTACCTGATGGCAAAACCATTGATCTTTCTAATATGGGTAAGAAGCAGGCACGTCGTCCTCGACCTACGTATGGGAACTGATGATCCAGATTCTTATACATACTTAAGTCTTCCCACGAAAGACTATTCGAGAGAGATAGAAATTAGTATCATTCAATCAAACGCTTATGAAAATAGAAAGACTCTAACTACTTGATCGATTTTCCTAAGACTATACTCTCGACTTTTCTTTAAAAATCCAACGTTATAACTCTAGAAATAACACGACGTATTTTTAAATATATATTATATACATACATACATACATACAAACATACATACATACATATATACATACATATATACATACATATATATACACACATACATATATATATATGTGTGTACTTTTATAAAAGCCTCTCTTGCTAACCAAGCATATTAAATCCGTGAAAAGGAAGGGAGAACGAATTGTGGAGAGAAAAAAAACGTGAAAGGATGCGTATTTACTCCTTTAGATTTAAAGAAGTGTTTTTATCTGTTTGATTTTATTTTCGTCTATTTATATCTCCCCCCCTTCTACACTCCGCTCCGCCGGCATATACGCATTCACGTCGCTGAAGATTAATAAATTAGTTATTTAGTTTAATATATCTACGACGTATATATATATATATTTATACATATGATGTACCTGTATCGAGTCGATCGAATAAAAATTAATAAAAATATAATTTACAATGCATTTTATGCGCACAATTTTAACGTGATCGTATGAATCACGATATGAGTAACGTGAAACGATTAAATAATTTATTCATAACAATTATTTATATATATATATATATATATATATATATATATATATATATGGATTATTTGGTCAACGTTTTTTTTATATATGATTCACATATTTTACGTAAATATTTACTATAAGGCATCGCCTTTTTCATAAAAATGCTAAGCGTATTTAAAATATTTTCTTGACAAGTCCAAACGATGGCCCATCAAAATGCTGATATGATAAGGCATATCGTAAAGCAACATTTAATTCTGGTTGACCTCATAAGCGTAACATTTTACGATATGCGGCGAAACTATCATAATATATATATAAATGCATACATACATACATATATATTAGACATTGCCTATAATGCAGAGGACATATTTGAAAAAGTTTAAGTATACGATGAGTATAAAAAACAAGGATATGTGTTCGTTTGTATGATATACGTAAATGTTCGATTTTATAGGTATTACTTTAATAAACAATGAACAACGATCAACTCTACTGATTTAAATAAACAATATTAAATATCATCTAAACATTAACAATCGATGGTCGATATTATCGCTAAACTTAATTACTTGTGTTCCCCACGTTCAAACGTTTATGAAAAAACGCGAATTTCTTTAAAAAAAAGTTTGGTCATCGGCAAGTTCAGAGGTGTCGCCGCATTTAATAATAATTATTCTTTTTACGTGCGCGGAATCTGAAGGTAGAAAAAAAGATATATTAATAAGACAGATAAAAGTTAGTCTTGGGTATATGATAAGAATACTAAATTCATTCCATTTGTAAAATTAATAGTTAATCTTTTTTTTAAATAGATATTTAAATATTATATGCTATTCTTGAAAACTTTCAAGGAATTAAAAGCTTTATGTTCAGACATCTTACAACAAAGAGAAGCGGAGAAATAAAGAGCTTTGTGTTTGTATACTCGTTTCAACTATACAACATCGAACAACGCGTCGTCCACATCATTCTTATTAAATACGACTAAGGAGATTCGAATGAGATAAATAAATGATCGATATAATAATAACTTATTATAGCCTAATACTAATATCGTGTAAAATTAAAAAAAAAAACATTTGCTTCAATGATGATCATTCACGAATCCAATATAGATCGTTCAAGGAGATTCATATTGAACTGACTTCATATTCTTCATTCGACATCATCAACTATTACAGATATATTAATGTATACCTATAAAAATTAATATGCAGGACTGGTAACGGTTGAAACTTGTTTTGGCATATGTTGACCCTGAGCCAAAGCTCCGCTTTTCGCTGCAGTGAACTTCAACCAAGCGTCATAACCATACGCTACCATGGCACAAAAACCGAAGAACTGTAAATAAGAAAGAAAAAAGAAAATGAGTAACGTAAAAATAATCTGTTGATTTTTTGAATGCTTTATATATATATATATAAATTTCCCCACCGCTGCAACGGCGAAAGATTCAGAAATCCGGCCGTAATCAGCTGCTAAGGAAGCAGCCAGAAGATAGAACGCCGTCCAAATCGAACAGAATATGAATTCCTGTGAACAGAGATTGATGTGAAGAAAATAAAATTAAAAAAAGGTTATTTCAATTTTATCTATATAAGAAGAAAGAGATCATCGATCTCTTAATTATCAAAAGTAAAATAGCATAATATATTTTTGTTTATTTAAGTTATATAAAAACAATATTCTTTCCTTTATTTTCTCATAATTATACGTCTATAAATACTCTGTCTAAACTTTCCAACATGTATTCACTTGAAAGATCACTTTAAGGAAAGAGAGAAAGAGAAAGAGAGAAAGGAAGATAAATATGATTGGTAATGGAACGTTTCATACGAAATATTATTTTAGTAAAACCGTAAAAACGTCGATAACCTAAATGTTTTGATATGAGACGTTGTAATGAAATAATGATAACGAAAAAATAACTTTCTTTCTTCTTTTTTTCCCTCTTTTTTTTACGAAGTTACAAGTAATTTCACTAAAAATTTCATTCCAAGAAGAATTAATGAAATACAAAGCTTACGATTTTTAACCATGGAATTCTGGAAAACTTCTCAACAATATGGAATAAATAAAGAACAAGAAGAACACCGGTGAACCAAAAGCCACCCATAGCCACGGTATTGAACCATCCTCCTCTACTGTGGCTGCTATAAATCGACACAGTGATGCATATGAATCCCAAGAGATTTAATATCTGAAAAAGAGGAAACGGTTAAATGGGCGGAAAAATTTCGCTCGTTCTGTGCATACGTAGGCGTATTATACTTACCACTTGAATAATTTTGAGAATACCCGGTAATGTTCTCACATAAGATGGATCAAATCGTACATTAGGTTGAATGGTGGTCGTCGAAGTAGTGACGGTGGTTGTTGTCGTATGTTGACCCGGAAATCCTTGATCCATTCTTTCTGTTTATTTTTAATATCTTAAAAAAGAAAAAAAAAAAAAAAAAGAATTAAGGATCGAACAGTAATATGTAGAGGAAGTGGATAAAAATAAGCGAGGGACTCAATAATATTACATATTGTCAAAAACGAAAAAATTTATATTTTAATGATTTCAATGATGCAACGTTCACAATTCGTGTTATTGATGAAATAAAATCGTGCAAATTGTTCAACGTGATTATCCTAATTACGTAGCACCACCGACATTAAAAAACTATTTACTACGATACGAAGTAATGCGCTCCGTCACTAATAAGTCTCAAGTGCTACATGGAACGCAACAGATATACACGCACACACACATGTATATATTTGTATATGGAGTGGAATATATATATATATATATATATATATATATATATATATATATATATATTGGGAGTGATCATCACGTAGGAGTCCCCTCTGCATATTTCAAAATCTAATCAATTTAAAGATTCAAAGAAAAAGTATAAATAAACTATAAAAAATATAAAAATAAATTTACGTAAACAAAAAATAAAAAAAAATATATATATACATATACCTATAATAAAATTCTTATTATAATCTGTTCAATTAATCACGTTACACGATTTCCACTGTCTATATTTATATACAGAATAAGACACCATATTAATTTATTAACAAAGAAGATAAATAATAAAGAAATAAAAGAGGACCGTCGTTTTTTAGTCGTTCGATGTCTCGCTAAAATAAACGTTTGAGAAAAGGCGCGACGTGAGGCGGATTCGTCGGTCGATAGGTAAAGTGAATTAAAGATTAGAAAGAAAAAGCTTTTTTAAGAATCGATACATCTCGCCTCGTCCTTTCGTTCGACGTAAGTATGTACATACATACATCGATAGGATGATTCTGACGGCGATCGACGACGAAAGGACACGAGATGAATATGAGAAAACACCGCCCAGATCGATTACGTGCTATCGTACGGGCGTAAAAGGCGTAAACGCGTTTGCGTCGATGAGATAAGGGAAAAGGATCAACAATGGAGCGCGGCTAATGAGATATAGTTGAGTAATCACTAATTAAATGTTGCTTAAGAAAGAAAGAATAATAAGAGAGAAGGAGAGAGAGAAAGAGAAGGAGAGAGAGAGAGAGAGAGAGAGAGAGAGAGAAAGAGAGAGAGTAAAGGAAACAAGAAAATGGATAGAACGCTTGAAAGTCGGCCATTTTTCTTTTCGTTTTCTAACCAATCATACGACCAACATATTGCGCGCCAATTTCGACCAATAAGAATCTCTAATTGATATTTACATTATTACGAGTCGAAAATAAAAGTTGCATCGAATTTTTTTCTTTTTTTTTCTTATTAATATTATGCTTTCAATTTATAATGTTTATATCCAGTAAAAAAAATATAAAATAATAAAATTTAATATTATGTTATGAAGTTATATAAGTTAAAAATAAGAAATGACGAGTACGATCTGTGCATTATATTATTGAAAGATTGCCGTAACACGTAGCTCTTTTATGTAGCGCACGCACGAACATATATATATATATATATATTATGAGGACATGCGCATTAACGATGACACTATGTGTATCAAATATAACGTTTGAATGTGCTTAATGATCTTCGATCAATCAAACGTCGTCCAATCGTGGACACTCGTTTTATAACGTATGTAATTGTAATATTAAGAGTAATAAAAAGGAACTTTGAAAATATGCTGAAAATATCTTGATGATCCTTAAATTTATCGATTAAAACTGTGACTCTATTTAAGTCTCATAAAATATTATTGTAAAAAATCGTAATACTTTTGTTCGCATGTAAATGTAAGTAAATACATGCACGCATATTTAAAAAAAAAAATCGATGATCAAACCGAGCGTGTTATCTAAATGTGTCACGCAAGACTTTTTTAACACCACACATAATTTTGGAACGAATATAATTATGATAATAAAGAATAAACGACATTACATCGATAAGGATCGTATCGAATTGTATAATAAAATCAAAAGGTTATTTCAATGGATGACGTAGATGAAACATTCAATAAGAATGGCCACTATCGTATATCGTATGTAATACAAAAGAAACAGTATACGTTTCTAACTAATGAAAAGAAAAGAAAAAAAAAAAACGAAAAAGAAAGAAAAGAAAATAAAATACAATACTCAAGCGCATACCACCAAGAACGAATATTGGAAATTTAGTACACTAGTGAATATTGGAAAGTTATGTCGCGCGTAATAGATCAAGAAAAAGGTTACGACTAAACGAAAAATCAAGAGACGAAAATACATTTGTATGTGACCCTACCCACCGCTTGCGACCATACAACGGCGGTTGAAATAGATCTGCACGTTCGAATAACAAATTCTTACCTGCGACGCGATTCAAAAATCGCTCCTTCGTCCTCTTCGTCTTCGTTAATCGTGAACACTTCCTTTCTTTTTCTTTTCTCAACGTCGATAATAACAATAATGATGATTATGATGATGATAATAGCGATGACATAGATTTTCTTTCTGTTGTAAATTACGATGAAAGTTACAGGCTCAGAAACGGTGTTCTACTCTCTCGACAACTACCTGTTTGCCCGGTGCAAATTTATTGACGACAAATCTATTGTAAATAATACTTCGAAAGTATCCCACCTAATAATGGGTTTCATCGATAGTAACAATTTTTTATATTTTCAATGCGATTAGATTAAACATCTTATATTCACCTTCGTTTTCTCTCTTTCTTTCTCTCTCTCTCTCTCTCTCTCTCTCTCTTTCTCTATCCTTCTCTCTTTTTGTGACATCAGCTATCTTGTCATATAACACGCATACGTTACACACGGCGAAACAAAAGCGAGTTTCTGGTCGCGTTAGCTTTTCGAGTCCCGTCGTCTTTTCTTTTGCCGTTCTCTTTCTCTCTAATGTGGCCTCACGTTGTATATAGGTATACACCACTACTATGCGACGACGCGACTAACGAGTTTACGCGCACGTAAAGAGTACCAGGATATATTTCCCCCACTCTTTGTCCTCCTTTTGCGTCTAACCAATTCGCGTTCACACATCTTCTCTCCCTCTTTCGAACTTTCTTATTCTCTTATGTACTCCGTCGGTAAGCACTGAATTATGACGACTCAAAAAGAAACTCGACTTTTTACAAGAACTAATCACATATTATGTTTTTATTTTCTTCGCTTAAGACTACTCTTCACCACTGGTATTATAATAGTTTACGCCAACAATGAATATATATGTAATTCTTGATCAATTTTGATGAACAAGATCTCATTTTAAAGATGAAAGTTTAATCGAGGACATGGCTTTTTCGAACTTTGGAAAAAACTTTATTTTCTTTGAAAAAATCATGTAAAGAATTGTTTTTTTCGACGATAGTTTATGCATAAAAATAAAGCTTTTTAAAAAAAAACTTGTAAGAGCCATATCCTCGCTTAAACCTTCGTCTATAAGATAAGATATTGTTGATCAAAAACGTTCAAAAAATATGCTTGGATTCGCTGTTGACATAAACGGTGTTTTCGACATTTTTTGTGAAAAAAGTTTCGTATAGTAGCGCCCCTTGAACTTTGTGGCAAAAGAGAAGAAGCTCCTAACAAACTACTGACTTTCACATAAACACTAGAATGTGTTTTGTTACCGTGAAATAGAAGATTGCTTCCTTGTTTGTTTGGATAAATCGATGCTCAGATTTTCAGATTCATTCAAAATTGATCCATTTGCCATGTTCATATGATAACTTATTCATGCATTTTAATGAGCCTTCGACTGAAGATACTATGTTAAAAATAAGCAAATACAAGTTCAATCTTTCATGCTAATAAAGGGTCTTAGGAATAATATATAATTCTGAAATAATTTCATAATAATTTAAATAATGTATAATGTACACGGAGTACAATAAACTAATATCTAAACAATAATATATTCGTTTAAACAATACATAGCTCATAACACACGTTAAACATAAAATAATTTCAATTTAATATTTAAACATAATTAAATTGTGATCACTGGATCTTTGACTACATTTAATATCAACAAAAACGAACATTCGACTGACTTTGATATTTATCGATCCAGTCTTTTGTTGCGTTCTGACTAGTAAACATCGAAACTCTTTCTTTCCAAACTTTTCGAATTAAACAAGTAATACTTTTAATAATTTTATAATTATTAAAACAATGTATAATTCATACGAAGTACAATAAACTAATACTTAAATAATAATATATTAGTTTAAACTTACATACCTTGTAATACCTGTAACATGTGAAAAATATGAAACAACTTTAATATATCCATACATGTAAACATAGACTTCGGAGTCGTTGCGTTCTCCTAAAGTCAACGAAAACGAAATCTCTATTTAAATAATAATATATTCGGTTAAAAAATTTCATAGTTCGTAACAATCATTAACTATAAAATAATTTTAATCTATCTACATCTAATGTCAAAACAAACGCACGCTTGACTGCCCTTGATAGTTATTAAAATAGTTTTCTTTTAGATTCCGGCTAATAAATGTCATAATTTTTTCTTTCTATACGGATATATTTAAATAATTAATACTTGTAACTATTTTATAATTATTTAAATAATATATGATGTACACGAGACTTTTTAACTTTTATATATTATATTTTATTTATTATGTATTTTATCGCAAGTAATATCTAATTAACGACAGTTTAAATACGGTTTAGCTATTTATATAAGTTTATGAACACTTACGAAAGTTTGTATAATTAACGAACATTTTTCAATTAATTTATCTGCAGAGAAATATAATCTGGCATATGGTTTTGTTTTGCTTTTGTCAGATGCACTATTATTTTTATTACACGTAAAAATTTCTAAAAGACACTAACTTGATTGTTATGTTACGCATTGAAGGATATAACCTATATAAGTTTATATACCAATGTAATAGGCACATAATATCGCATTTGTAGTTCATATTTTGTCCATACATGTCGCTGAAGTCATATACGCTACGAACGAAAGGTGGTGAACAACCATAATGTATATTCTGTAAATGTCATTGCACGATATATATGTCTAAATATATTATATTTTGGTTTAAATTTCATTCAAGGTTAGATTATAACTGTGCATTAGTGAAAGTTTTTAATTCTCTGTTAACAATCATTTTGCCGTGTCAGAAGATACGAATATGCATTTGCGTTTTGTCACTTGTTGAAAAGTTAGTTATTATAATTATTCGTAGGAATTCTATTTTTAGGAATTATTTATATTTGTAATTGAAAAAAATGCGTATTGATTTATTTCTCGAATAAGTTAATAGGTTATGGTTGAACAAACTAACGCTCTATCAATTTCTTAAACGATATTTTTGATTAGACCAAACGAGTATAACAGTATGGTTTCGACGCGTGGACCAAAATTTAAATTTTGTGATGGTGAAAAAGTGCTCTGTTATGAGCCTGATCCCACGAAAGCTAAAGTGTTGTATGATTCTAAGGTAGGAAAATCCTTATCAGAACATTTTAAATATATAATTTGTATATAACTATTTGTAGGTCTTAGACGTTATAATTAATAAAGATCAACGTGGAAGAAAAGCAGTCGAATATTTGATACATTTTCAAGTGAGAAATTTAAAATGTTCATTACAACATTATTTGTATTTTGTTGTACGTTAAGTGTGTGTTTTATATAGGGATGGAATTCTTCATGGGATCGATGTGTAACAGAAGAATATGTTCTAAAAGACACGGAAGAAAATCGTCAACTTCAGAGAGACCTTGCACAAAAAGCTCAACTTCAACTGTATATATTTACTACATTAGAAATCAACATTTTTAATTCCTTAATATTTATCATAAATATTATTTATGTAGATCTGAAATGTAGTTGTAACTTTTTCACACTCTTCAAAATTTATTCAAAAATTCATCTATCTGAATAAGGGGAGCCTACTTATATCGCCGAGAACGTAAGAAAAGAAGTCACAAATTATCAGATCGTCTAAACGAATCAGAAAATCAAGAACCAAGACGGAGAGCACGAAGTGGTGGCAGTAGAGCTACTTCGGCTACTACTGGATCTTCTGAAGATGGTAGTTCTGGGCAACAGGCTGATTATGACACAGAGGTATTCTGTTATTTTTGATAACAATATTGTTAAACTGATAAATATGTTTTACATCTTACAGGAAGTTATTACAGAAGAAGATAGTGAGAGTAGTTCAGACTATGTTGGTGAAAGTAGCGATGATGAAGGCAGTGGTGGAGGAAGTCAGTCTGGTGCAAGTGTTAAACCAGGAGTTGATCTTGATATAGGTACTACCCTAAAAAGAATTTTGGATTTAGATCATGATTTAATTACTAGTAAAAACAAGGTGATACCTCCATTCATGTATTCTCACATACATATTTCAAATATATTTATCATTTTTAAAATCTCTGAACATCTTTTAGTTGGCTGTATTACCTGCACAACCAACTGTTTCAAACATTCTGGAATCATGGGTTCAGCATTTTACTACAACTCAATTAACAAATATTCCAGACAAGCCACAAAGAAATAAAGCAAATAATTCCATAGAAAAAACAATAAATGAAGTAAATATATGCAGAGAAATAGCAGATGGATTACGTATATATTTTGACTTTACATTACATGATCTTTTACTATATAGACAAGAAAGGGAACAATATTGTACCTTGAAATCCTCCTTTTTATATGCAGAACAGGCACAAATGATAAAAGAGGAATCAATTGAGTAAGTAGGATAAAATTGTCTCAAATTATATTACTTATATTAAACATATTATATTATATTAAACAAAAAGATATTAATTATGATTTCAATTATTTAAAAAAATCTGATGTATATATTTGATATTATTCTAAGAAATGCAGAGATTTCAATCAAAGAAGAATTTGAAGATACCGAATATGCTCATTTGCCACCATTTCAAGAACATGAACAAGACATGGAATCTACTTCAAAAAATACAATAAATTCTAAACGAAGATTAAGATCATATAGAGTAGGTTCTATCGACGAAAATAGACAATTACGATCTTTTGACGATCTTAAAACGGATCCAGGAAATTTGTCAAGGTATTTCTTCTCATTAGTATATTCATGCGAATATATATATATATATATATATATATATATATATATATATATATATATATATATATATATATTTTCATTGGTTACAAATGTTTTTTAATAGCATAGCAAGTACAAGCTCCAGATGTTCTAGTCCACGTGGTGTAACGTTGAGAATGCCTATTATTACCTCTGCACAAATTAATGCTTTACTACAACAATCGAATAAATGGAGATTAATACCAGATACTTCGATTTGTGGTAATAATACTCCAAATCCTTCTACATATTATGGCGCTATTCATCTTACACGACTATTTGGTGTGTTCATCTATTTATAAAAAAATCATTTCTCACAAAAATTGAAGTATTTTTATCAATTAAATTAATTTTCTTTTTTATTTTCTTGTTTTCTTTTTATTTTATTTATTTATTTATTTTTTTTATTTTAGTAATACTACCCGATTTGCTGCAATCTGCTGATATTCCAAATAAAAAATTAAAACTTCTAATGAAATATTTAGATATGTTCCTCAGGTAATTTATGAAATATTAAAATGAATAAGGCGAATAATAATATTAAACAAAAAAGATATATCTATAATATATATTTACTTACAGTTACTTGGAGATGCATAGAGAGTGGTTCGGAGAACAATTCTACATGCAAATAGATAATCAATCGATGATACAAGGAAGCAGTTCATGATATAGATAAGCTCGATATATATATATTTTTTAGTATGCATTGACATTAATATAATATAATCTTATGAGATATTATATATCTGTATATTTGTATATATAATATCAAAACGTATCAATTCCAAATAAATAATTTTTGTGATATAATATTTTTGTTATGGTATTAGATGATAGAAATATTATATGAAAAAGTGAGTAATTAACCAATTAAAGTTGTAAGTGAATTTTTATTGAAATTATATGTACCATGTTGTTACTATCACTGAAATATAAGAAGATAAATAATTATATACCAGCTGCTCATGATAAATGAGCCTGTCTAAATCCCATATTTTGTCTCTACATTATTCATAAAACTTTTACCAAAATTATTTTTCAAGGAAAAATAAATATATTTATTCTTGAAAAATAATTTTGATTTAATTCTTCATATAATGATAATGATAATTCTTGAAAATGGAATTCCTCACATCTACAAATAATTATAATTAAAAACTTTTCAGTTATAGTGTTCCATAAATAATTCAACAAAACATGAATACAGTAAAAACTGTTTTTGTGCGGTGGATAGGCACCGCATAAAAGAAATCATACAAAAAAATATTCAGAAATTTTATAAATTCTTACATATAATAAACAACTTTGTACGATATACTATCTAAAATTTTTTTTATGCGGTGGACAGGGACCGCATAAAAAAGTCGGACTTAGAAAATACATCAATGATTTATGAAATAGATGAGAGAATGCTTTCAATTAAATTAAATAATTAAATTAGACCTGAAGAAATTGTAAAAATATTTAATTCTTCATTGTACATATACATGGAGAAGTTTTCAAATTATACATTAAATAGTTTGGTGCTACTCGTAATCCAAAACGCGCATCTTGTGATGAATTGGTTCAAAATCGCTTTCATCGCTTGAAAATAGGATTTCAATTGATTTGTTTTTTGGTACCATAAAGTCAGTGATTAGTTTTTGTGACGCACAAAACCAATCGCATAAAAAAGGACCGCACAAAACCAGGTTTTACTGTATATATTCATATCTTTCGAACCGTTGAAAAATTAAAGCTTTTCGAATCGGTGAAGAGTTAAAGCTTTTACTAATGCAGTTATAACTTAACTTTTATTTAAGCTCAAACAAAAATATATCATTTTCATAATTAATAGTTCATTAATTTGCATCACAAGAATTTTAATTTAATTGGCTATTATGCAACCACGGTAATTAAGTGTCATTAAAAAGGATCGTAAAAATATGAGTATTAACGACACTAGCGCACCTATGAATAATTGGTTCGTTAGTCGAGATTACTTTTTTATATAAAATTGTTTTCTCAGAGGTTGTTCTTGCATCTTTTATTACCATTCTTTTATGATTCAATATTAATGGCCTAATATTTAACTGAGAAACTGTTGCTAACTATCAGTGTAGTCGCTAACTATCTTTCGTGTAGTCGCAATTATTATTTCTCCTTCAATTATTCTCTCAAAATATTTTAAAATAAATTTTAGTAGATAAAACTGTACATTTTTTCTTATTTTATAATTATAATAGGTAATTACATATATTAAAAACCTTCAGATATATTGGTTATTTACCTTTATAATTTCAATAACGACCAAAAAATGTAAATTTGATATAATGTAATACAACCCTGATATACATTTAACGCACTTTGATAAGATATTCTCATATTAAAAGCTGATTCAACGAAGTTTTTTCATTTGTAGTATTTGTACTATGTGTGTAATGAGAAAAAATAATTATTAGAATCGAATAGAACGTTTGTATTTGTGAAAAAAAATCTTGAATATCTATTTTATATAAGAAGTTATTAATATTCTTCATTGATATTAAGTTTTATATCTTTTTAATTACCATTGCAAATTTACTAATAATCTTTTACATTTTTACGTTAATTGACTATGTATTGTATCTAAAGTGATGTTTTATTTATAAATTAGATAATATTTCAGTGTACATAAATAATTTATAAAGTTTGGATTGTAGTAATTGCCTTTTACATTATGTTTGATAACATAGACAAAAATCTTTTTTTTATTAAAGCACATTATTTTCTATTTAATGCTGGTAAGTCCCACATAATTTAAGAACAAGATAATTCTAATTTTAATGAAATATTTTTTCCATTTTAGCTACTGGACCAGTATTACCATTTTTACCAACAATTGCTAAGCAATTAGGTTTCTCTGGAACTTTGGTCGGTACAATATTTACAGTATTACCCATATCTGGTTTGATTGCAAAACCACTGTTTGGAGGATTAGCTGATAAATTTAATCTTCCTAAAACTTTTTTCTTAATATTTCAAGTATTACTTACTATAAGTCTTTTCTCAATCCATTTCATACCTCAATTTAGAACAAGTGCAAATATTACTCTTACTTGTGATGGAGACTTATTTTTAAAAGTATGTTCAAAGAAAGGATTTTCTGATGAAGCAATGCAAGGTGTAATAACAACTGAAGAAACTACAGATAATCCTACATGTCAGGTACTGCTATTAAAAATAAGCTGTGTAAAGATTCTATAAAGTTCTTCTTTTGAAAAAGATATATACAATATTTTGTTTTTAGCTATTTTGTAAAGCTTCTCAAAGAGCTTATGAAGAACTGTGTCTATGGAATCCGTTATACTGTGCTAAGAATAATTCGAATATTTCTCCAAATGAAACATTCGATTTTGTTGCAACAATTAATATGTATAAAGATTTACCTGTAAGTCAATTTTTATATAATTATTTTTAAAAAAGTTCATAGTAAATTATTTTGATAAATTTTATTTATTTAGGAGAAAAACTGTACAAACTTAAGAGTTTCTAATGTAACTTTTTCGTATGGAAATACACATCGACCTGCTTGCAAGAAATTATTAAAAACTTCATGTATTGCCTCTTGTCAACATCCAGTTTTAAATGAATTATTACATGAATCTGATAACTATGATATATCTCCAACAGATTTTACATTTCAATTTAATTTTTTTTTATGGACGACTATAGTGAGCTGGATTTGCATGGCTGTTGTGGTTAGCATAGCAGATTCTATTTGTTTCAATTTACTTGGTTTGTATTATTACTATTATATATAGCTTTTTTTTACAAAATTTATATTAATGTTATGATGTAACAGTACATTAATATTATATACTTTAGGAAATGAGAGGAAAAAAGATTATGGTAAACAAAAGATGTGGGGAAGCATAGGATTTGGAATTTTTGGTATAAGTGCAGGATACTTGGTAGATATTTTTAGTGAAGGACAATTTCAAAAGGATTATACATGTATATTTTTTATGATGTTGGTCTTTATGATTCTTGACATTATAATGTCAGCCAGATTGAGAAAGGTGTGTTTTAAATTACATGGGTTCATATTACAAAAGCACAACTCTGCTTATTTATCAAAAGAATCAAAAATTGGCAGGTAATGGGAGCAAGCAGTATCATTACAGAAAAATCCTGAATGTTCTGAAGAACCATCAATGCTGAGGGAGTTGTTAACCGTCACTAAAGAGCCTAACATATGGATATTTGGATGGTGGTGCATAGGTGCTGGAATGTGTACAGGAGTAATATGGAACTTCTTGCTTTGGCATACAGAAAATTTAGCTACATTCACACAAACAAAATGGATTAAAACTCTGCAAGGTCTGTTGGTTGGCACAGAATGTTTCTTAGCAGAAATGCCTTTTAATTTTTTGTCAGGAAGTATTTTGAAAAAATTTGGTCATATAAATATTATGAGTCTTGTATTACTCATTTATTCAATAAGGTAAGCTCCAAAAAGTTAACTAAAAACAAAAATATTTGTTCATATTTTTTAAGTAATAATAAGAAATTTCTTTAAGGTTTATGGCATATAGTTTAATATCAAATCCATGGCTATTTTTACCATTGGAAATATTGCATGGTCCATCATATGGTCTCTGTTGGCCAACAATGGTATCTTATGGTGACAAAGTAACTCCTCCAGGTACTCAAGCTACTATACAAGGCTTAATAGGTTCTATTTTTGAAGGAATTGGTTAGTATAATTAAAATTTCATTATATTATTTAAGTTGAATATAATATAGAAAATGAAGAGTTTACAGTGTAAATTTTAATTATAGGTGTGTCAAGTGGTACTTTATTATGTGGATGGATAATGGATGTATATGGAGGTGTTGAAGCATTTAGAATTTTTTCAATTGGTGCTCTTATATGGCTAAGTATTTTCTGGGTCATGCAATTAATATTACGCAAAATATATTCTACACAAGGTCATAATCGTGAGTAAGGATATTTTATAATATATCTTAACTATATATATATATATTATATTGTAAATGTTTTACTTTTAAAATTGTTCCAGATTTGGCTAGTTATGCCAATCCAGATGATGCAATTCTAATGACTATAAGTCAAGAATTACAAACGTATTAATAGAAGCAAAGATTAATAAAAATACAATCTAATCATACTTATTTTTCTATTGTAATTATAAAAGAGAACAAAAAAGATAATTAATTTGACAGAATATAAGGCTTCGTGTCAAGTTGATCTTGATTGGTTTTGACATATGTACTTAAACATATTAAAAATATGTATTAACATCCGTGATGTTAATAAATATACAATTCACTGTTTTTATTTGATTTTGCAATGAGATATACTTACATTACTGAAAAATCTATAAGTACCAACATTATAGTACAATTAATTACAATATATGTTTTAAGATGTGTGTAAATGTTATTATATAATAAAAAAGGTCATGTTACGATAATTGGAATAATTTACCTAATTTGTTTTTTATATTCTTACTTTCAATAGCTTTGAAGTAATAATATAACTTAGTGAAACAAAGTTTTAATAATTACTAATAGACAAAAATGGATGTAAAATTAAACAATAAAGTTAAAAAAAAGTTTTGATTGTTGAACAAAATTAGATATTGTTTTAAATATGTTTAATGCATTTTTTGATACTTATGTTTAATAAATAATTAGCGAACCATTTCTCGTTTTTATAAATGTATGTATCTCTGTTCATCGATGTTGCGAAAAGATAATTCTTCTATAAATAATGAGAGGATCGTAAGTTAAAAGTAATGTTATGAAGTTTTCATAAAATATTTGAACCTTTTATTCTTGCTTCGTTTGTGAACAGTAAAGGTTGACCATTATTAATAATTCGATTAAGTAACATGTCTCTTCACTTGTAAATGGCAATCGCGTAATAACAAGATTTTGTAAATTACAACTAATCTAGTAATAAAAAGCTACAAATAACCTTCTTCTGATTTATGATCAGCACAGCACCAGACATAACTTGCAATGATGTGAAACAAAGGCCTGTTTAATAGAGAATGATTTCAATACAATGTTAATCTTGCTTTGGAAATTGTCGTTGTTGATTTGAACGAGATGGTGAAGCAACTTGATTACTTGGGATAGGTTCAACAATCGCTTGCAGATTCGGAATTTCACCTGCAGAATCACAGCAATCGTTCATTATCCCAGTGCTGGAGTGAATAAAGGCAAGACTACCCTCGCTTGACGAAGCTAGGCTGACTGATAAAGGAGGAGTACGTTCTTTAGGAGATGCAGAAGAAGGAAGATTTCCAGCACTAGTACTTGCTCCACAAGTTATACTCTCAAGTGTACCATGGAGTTCGAGTATATGACCTTCTAATAGAAGATTAATTTCCAATTGTGCCTTATATTTGGATTCAACTGCATTTAATTCTGTTTCATGTTGATCCTTCGTTTCTAGCAGAGAACGTTGAAGTTCAACGAGTTGCGCTTCCTTACGATTTTCTTTATTTTCTAATTCAGCTAAACGTACTCTTAAAACTTCTACAAGCGAAGTACGGGATTCTAATTGGCGTCGTAGATCTAAAGTAAAAAAATTTAGCTATATCATATATCATATCAAATAGAGAATATTATTATTATCAATTTCATTAAATAAAATCGATATTTACTAATCATTTCTTCTGCATATGCTTGTTGTATCTGTGCCGCTTCTTGATTGATCGTAGGCGATCGTCCTCCTACATTTTCTTGCAATTTCGATTGTGCCTATAAAAAAAAAAAAATTAAAGAAAAGAAAAAAATTTTTTCGTAGAACATTGTACTCTCATTAAATCTACGTTCAACTTACTTCTCCTAAAAGAAGGAGTTTCTTTTGTACAGTATCGAGAGTATGTTCTAACTCCTTTGCACGATTAGCTGCCTTCAATGCTTCTTTAAGTTGATGTCCCGCATCGAACAATGCAGCCTCCGCAGAACGTGTTTCTTGTTCACATTCAACTATTTTTTTTTGTTCCTCTTTTAGTTCTAATTCGAGTGATTCATTTCGAACTTTCAAAATTTGATTTTGTCGTTGCTCTTCTACACACTTTGTATCAGATCGTTGACAATATTATTACATTATTTTAAATCGATAATAGTTTTTAGCAAAATATAAAATTTTACATATAACAAACCTTCGTTTGCCAATGATGTAACACATCTTTGTATCGTTCATCAGCGTCCCGGTTATCCCTTTTACTTTTATCTAATTCAATTTTTAAACATTCTACCTCTCTTTCTAACATTCTAAGCCGATCAGTCTATATAATTGCAAATTAAATAATATATCCAATGATAATTAAAATTCATAAAATTTTAATAACATTAAATTTTAAGACTTACCAAAGCATTGTTGTGCTCTTCTAATGCTCGCGAATCTCTTAATTTACCAAGAAGTCTTCTATTACGTTCAGCATGTACTTCTCTACGCTGCCGCTCAAATTGTAACTGCATTTGCATTAGCTGCAACAATTGATTTACATGATCTGTATTTAAATTTTCCTCATCTCCTGTTTCATCTTCTGTACTTTCTTCAGTAATCTTTAGTTTTGTAGAATTTCTACCTAGCATGTTAAAAAAAAATAGAAAATATTTTTATACTAAAAAATTATCTCGCGCATATATAATATATCATATATACAATACCTACGTGCTTTGTTATTGTCACTAGAGAAACTATTTGCACGCGCACAAATATCAACGTAACGATCAAGCATACTGGTTGGTGATACTCTTGATTCAGAATTATGTTGAATAGTTTTTTGTTCAGACATTTGTTCTTTTTGATCTAAAATTCCTAATAACAAGCATTCGTATCGATATACGCTATTTGTTTGAGTTCCAATTTCCTCGAGTTTTTTCATGTAATTTGTTGTTTCTTTTCTTTCATTATTATCCATCCTTTTTAGCATTTTCATATCTGAACATGATCTAGTTCTTCGTAACTATATCAAATATGATTTTAATATCTTTATAAAACATTTCTAATTAAAAGTTATTTATAATATAAAAATAAGAACTCTATAACTTACCTTATTTATATTCTTATTTGTATGTTGTACTGGATATTGATACTGAGAATAAAATCGAAGTTGATGAACTTTTTGAGATAAATCTGCTATAGTACCACGTAATTTATCATCTTGAAATTCCGGTTTTTGTTCCCTATATTTCTGAATGTCAAGACTGCTACTATTTTGAAAGCTTACAATTTCCAAAACCTGTAGTTTACACACATATATCAGTAATGTATAAAGTTCATCCTTAGTTTTGATATACAATATAGTGTAGTGCATTTTGTGAAATGTATATAATCAAATATTTATTTTATTTAATAAAACCTCTTGATCTTCTTGCCATGAATCGTTCTTGCAATTTTGACTTATGTCAGTTTCCACAACATTATTATCATCCTCGGTATTAGTTATTAATTTCTGTGGTTGTTGAACAGCCGTTTGCCTATCAGCAATTAATTTACTGATTTTTTGTGAAAGAAATCCTTGTACATTAACTCCAGTATCTCCAGAATTCATCCCAGAGCTAGCAATAGATAATATAGAAGGATTTAGAGGAACAGGCGTGGATGGCCGCGATGTTTGCGTTACTGCGCCATTGCTCAGAATACTAAGTGCTCGAACTGCTGCAGATCCTACAGGTGCTGGCCTTGTCGATAACTTACGAACATCCTACATTATATGAAATCGTAATTTTGAAATTATCTGGATATATATATTTATAACATTAACGTACCTTTACTGGTGTCGTTTCTGGTGTAGCTTCTACAGCAGCTTCTGGAGGAGAGGTACCACTTCTGTTAGTATTAGGTGTTGAGGGAGTTGAACGAACTTCATGAGATGTACTTTGGAATGATGGACTCTGTGGTGGAACTGTCATACTAGGAGACCAAAATGTTTCCTCATCTCCATTACTTATCTCAGTAGTTGTCAGTCCACCACTGATATTTAGTGGTACAAAATTGGAAGAATGATCTATAAATACTCAAAATTTAAATAACCTTTCATCTATGGATAATATTATATAAATAATACTAACCTAAAGGTGGTGTAAATCGGGAATTAGTGGCTCCAAATATTTCCTCTCTACATTTGTCTAATGTAAAACGGTCACACTCTGCTATAATATCATGATGTTCCATTTTTTTCCATCTATAATATATAATAAAATATTTTCGAAACGGTACATTAATTAATAAATTATTACTAGATTCATACCTAGTGGCTGAAATTTCTGTATCTTTGGATGCTGTAACAAGGAAGGGATGCATACGCACAGAATCCAACATTGGTCTTATAGTATGAGAAAAAGTAGCCAATTGATCACGTTGAATATACTGTTGTTTAAGATATGAGATGAAATTGCAGGGATACATAGCATATAGCCTGTGAAATAAACTGTATAATCCCACCTACAATATATTACTTTGTGTTTTGATGGCATTTATTATATTATACAATTTTGATGAATAAATAATACTTACCTGTAAATGTAATAGATACAGATAATTCTTGTCAATATTGCTAAATACCGTATTTGATGTCACATGTATAGGATGAGAAAGTGTTGATGATTGTTGATAGTAATAAGAAGCTAGATGGCCAAATACTTCAAAAATTTCTTGTAAATATGGTCCTAATGCAGCAGGTAACATTGGTAGCAACATGACCAATAAAAGAAGCTCACTCATAAGTGATAATGTATCTGTTTCCACCTTAAAAAGAAATTTTTCATGATTTTATTTCATAGTTTTAAAATTGTCATTAATTATTGTCATTAATAAATAAAATATATAATACCTTTAGCAATTTTAATAAATCTCTGAACAAAGTATGGTTTGCAAGTTTATATAACCAGGTGGGTTGTTTACGAGCAATATGACCAAGTAAAGTAAGTCCTTTAATTTTTTGCTCATTATTTCCAGTCTTTGAAATAACTTCTCCCAATCTATCTAACAAATGCTTATCATGTGGTTCACGTACACCTGCCAGTACCTCAACAGTCCGTAAAGAATTTGTTGAAAGATAATAGTCCAATAAACCATTGACAAGCCAGCTATCTTTTGCTATGGTAATTGAATGTTATCATA